CCAACGGTGCTAAAACATAACAATAATTAAGATAATAATATGTTAATAATTATAATTGATTTCCTGCGTCAACAGAGCTTTCGTTGTTTTCGTATATTCGGCCAGAAAAATACACTATTTACGGATATCGTGAACATTTCTGTGAACAGTGATATGATGAGTGAATACCGCAACTGGCTTGGGGAATATTTTGTGACAAAGAGTCCTTGAGAACGTCGACTTTGAAAAACAGTCGCCGGATTCTTCTAAACCCGCGAAAAAAGATTTTGTTTTGACAAGACAAGTCAAGTGCTGTTCTATTTTTTTTTTTTGTTAAGACAAAAAAACAACAACCGGGAAATCTACCAGGAACAATAACATAGAAGGCTTCTTTTTGTGTAGTAAAGGCTTTGTACTGAAACTGATTTGTTATTTAAATTTAAATTTTTTTAAAAACAACAGCGCTCCAGCCTTTATGAATGCCTGTGATGTATTAGTCATAGCAATATCAGTTTGCGCGGGCGACAGAGGTTGTTCAAGTGCGCACTTTTCATCACAATGGCTTTATGGAAGAAAAAAAAAACAGGCAGAGGTCAGTTGACAAGTCATTCAAAACAGTCATGTAAACAGCTGTCTCATTAATTAGTTAATTTTATTTACAATTAGAATACAGGATACGTTGGCGGAAATAAGAAAGGGTTGGTGGATTTTCTTCGGATCAGCTAGGCCTAGGTTATAGCAAATACTCTCTGGTTATAGTAACAAAGTCCTTAGCACAATGTCCCCCACGCAGTGTGCGCATGCACTTATTATTCGATGGGCGTTAATATTTTGTTTTCCCGATTCTGTCGTAATGTTGGGAATTCCCGGACCGGCTAATCCAGCTGTGTGTGTGTGTGTGTATGTGTGTGTATGTGTGTATGTGTGTATGTGTGTGTATGTGTGTGTGTTTATGAGTGTGTATATGTGAGTGTATGTGTGTATGTATGTGTGTGTGTGTGTATGTGTGTGTATGTGTGTGTATGTGTGTATGTGTGTATGTGTGTGTATGTGTGTATGTGTGTACCATGTGTGTGCGT